TGTGTGTGTGTGTGTGTGTGTATGCATTTCTCACTGATAAAAAGGAATAATAATAATAAAATAATAAAATAAATACTTCTTTTAAAAACTGTTTCTTCTTGTGTCCAGCAGGTGGCATAGTGGTTAAGACGCTGGACTCCCACATGGGCAACTCCGGTTCGAGTTCCAGACCTAGAAGCTTGCAACTCATGCCGCTCGCATGTGCATGCGTGCCCAGAATCCCAAGAGGAGAATTGGGGAGAATGGATTGGAGTGTAGCCCTCTCCCTGGTAGATTTCTCACTCTCTGTCTCTCTCTCTGATGAGCACACATACCTTATACTAAAAATCTCTAAAAACAAAAACAAAAACAGAAACAGAAACAAAACATGTTTCTTCTTTATGCACTGTAGAGTGTGTGAGAAAGAAAACACTCTTGGGACCAGCAGTTAGCGTAATGGCTATGTCGCTGGACTCCCATGTAGTCGACCGCGGTTCGAGTCCAGGACCTGGTGGCTTAAATTCACGCCGGGCGCGTGTGCGCGCATGCCCAAGATCCCGAGAGAAGTGTGGCTAGCCCTCCTGGGGGTGATTTCTTGCTTTCTGTCTCTCTGTCTCTCTGTCTCTCTGTCTCGTCTTTCTGGCGAGTGCACGCGCCCTATAGCAAAAACTTTTCCGCCAAAAAAGAAAGAGAACACTCTGCAAGGCCCCATCTTGTGGCGAACCCCTTCTTCCATCCCTCCTGCCTTTCATCTTGGACACATGCACACATGCCAAGAGGGTTTCCACTTGATCTGTCCAAGGATTCCAACCGCGGTTACTAGGGAGGACCCGGCTTCTCTCAGCTGCGCGTTACGGCTGCCCACAGAGCAGCCCAGGTTTCGGGTTTTAACGGTACCTCCCTGTGAGGTTATCCAGTCAGGGAGGTGGAACTGCACACGGCAGCTGGTAGCCATTCATTTACACTCTGTGCAGTGTCGTGATTGGACGAAGGAGAGCAGGGGGCGGGCTTGGAGCTGCAAGCGGTGGGATGATATGACGGACCCTTCCTTCAGGCCCTGCTGTCCTATTTGCTGCAACAGGGCCACCTCGGCATCATGATTTGCAAAACCCCAAGTTAAGAAACCGGACTTTATCGTAGAGACTCAAACAACAAAAACAATAAAAGTCATTTTGAAAAAAAGATAAAGGAAAGGAAACAGGTCATCTATCTTTCGCTGTCTTTGACATCCTGTCCGGGCATATGCTTTTCTTAGTAATGGCTTGCATAACTCAGAGACCGTACAAGTCATCCGTGCACACAGCACGGAGTTTACAGTGTCTCATTGACCCCATGAGAAACCTTGTACTGGGACCAGCAGTTGGCGTAATGGCTATGTCGCTGGACTCCCATGTGGTCGATCGCAGTTCGAGTCCCGGACCCGGTGGCTTAAACTCACGCCGGGCGCGTGTGCGTGCGTGTGTGCCCAAGATCCCGAGAGAATGGAAGAGAAGGGATTGCGGCGTGGCCATCCCTCCCTGGGGAGTGATTTCTTGCTTTCTGTCTCTCTGTCTCTCTCTGTCTTTCTGGCATGCGCACATGCCCTATAGCTATAAACCTCTCCCCCCCACACACAAAAAGAAACCTTGTACTCACAAGCAGATACTCTCTATTCACCCCTCTCCCGCCCTCCACCTCCAGCAATCTGTGTTCTATGGATTTGCCTGGATTTGGGTCATTTTATGTAAATAGAATCATATATATGTGGCCATGCATGTCTGGTCTTCTTGCCTGGTTTCTTTCCCTCAGCATATGTTTTCAGTGCTCATCTACAAAAAAAGAAACCTTGTACTCACAAGCAGATACTCTCTATTCACCCCTCTCCCGCCCTCCACCTCCAGCAATCTGTGTTCTATGGATTTGCCTGGATTTGGGTCATTTTATGTAAATAGAATCATATATATGTGGCCATGCATGTCTGGTCTTCTTGCCTGGTTTCTTTCCCTCAGCATATGTTTTCAGTGCTCATCTGTTCCTTTTCATGGCTGAATAATATTCCACCGTGTAGATATACCACATTCTGTTTATCCACTCATTAATTTATAGACATTCAATGCCCAAGCACATCTTGTTTTTAAATATGTAAGAATATCCACATGTGGGTACATGTGCATTTCCATGTCCCTTCTG